CATTTTTTATCAATATGAAAAAATACGATATTAAAAAATTCTGAAAAAAATTCTAAAAAAATTCTTAGAGCTCTATGAAAAGAAAATTTTCTCTTACAGTTTTTCTGTAAAGTTGATAGTATTTGAGTAAAAAATTATTGAAGACCAATTTTTAGCAATTAATATCTTGTTAACTATTGCGAAAATTGCAAAATGATAGAGGACTTTTCGTCTCAGTTTAGTCCGCTTTACATGTCCACTCCGTCAGAACAATTATCAGGCGCCGTGTGTGTGTGTGTGTGTGTGTGTGTGTGTGTGTGTGTATTAGTAGTTGATTTCATCAGAAAAAATTAAATGCAATCGGTCTCTCGAAGGTATTACTTGCAAATATCACGCTATCGATTCGCGTTTCGTCGCGGGTCATATTAAAAATATACGGCATTGGATCGATATCTCGCGTCGTCGCCATCTAATACTACGTCGCGGACAAACCAATCGATTTACATTTGCACTTATTAACCCTCCAGGGGACAACTATCATATGGCACTGCGTTGCGCGTGTTCTGGATTCTCATTATCGTAATCGCGCTATTGATAAAAATTCAGTCATCCTATGCGAATTCTCGGCATTCCTCGAGACGTATTTGTCGATAATCGATAACGCCTACAGTCGAATATTGAATTGGCATGGCGCACAAGAACGCAAACCAAGACCGTCTATAATCGTTTCAATAATGGCAATCGAACGGAAGTGGATTAAGCGACTCGCTGGAGCCTACCTCGATAACGCGAGGTAAGGATAATAAATAAGGCCAAACTATGAGAGCCGCACCGATAAGTTTATCGCATACACGTATACATTTGCGCGACGCGATACGACAAAAGCATTATATCCATATGATTTGCGTTTTCCGAGAATTTTCTCAGAAACTTGTAAACTATTTTATGAAAATCTAAGCGGGCCTTGAGCACTTATTAACAAGTATAAAATCGTGTATAATACGACAGTTACGAAACTAATTGCACGGATAGTGCGCAACATGTTATGTCAATGATTTCTTCAAACTATTCTTTAAACTAATATAATAATATTAGTTTCACAATTAGTTGTTTAAATATGAATAGTAATTCATTTATTATTCACTTATATTTGAATTAATAAATGCGTGAAATCACGGTTAACACCCGCTAACGTTTTGAAGAATTAATATATTGACGCACTGTTTGAACAATTTGTTTCGTAACTACAATGTATATACATACATGAATTATTAATAAACATTTATTTTTAGCACAAACATTTTCTTATGTGCTTTATTTATTTTTTCGCATACAGGCGTGTTTCTCTTTTGGAGTTATTCGTGATTCATGTTGTATTTATGATTCTTATTATTGACTGTTTTCGCAAAATTACTAATCTCGAGCAGTTATCATTTTTCTCGTTGAACAAATTACGTGTAACTGGAAAGAGTTTATGTAAACAAAGTGATTTTGCGGTCACTTTATATCTTGTCTAAGTTTTTTGTAAAGACAAAAAAAGACTGCATTAATCACTAGGAAAATATTTATGTTCACGAGAAAAATTCATTCATAATAAATTGTTATTATAAATGAAAAAAAATGCCTTTTCATTCGGAGTTCACATATAAGATTTATTTACAGAGACTATATAGTTGGCACGGATTATTAGCCACGGACAATTTGGAAATAGCTGAGAACCGCTAGTCGTCTCATTTTGGTAGATGCGATAATTTCGGAAACCAAGTCGTTGTTGGAAACATAGTTGCGCGTCATTTGAGTGACGTTAAGATCTGATGACGATGACTCAGTGAGTTAAATCGCGGAGGTAACGCAATTTCTCACGAGATGCGGCGTCAAGACTTCGACGAACTTTTGATTTTGCGACTTATTGCACGACAAAGAAAAATAACATGGGGAAAAAAAAAATGCGAATAAAAGATATCAGATGAAAGGGATATATCATAGAGAGGGTAAAATGGGATATTCGCAGCCGCGTTCAAACCGCGAGATTAGTAGATAATACTATTGCGAAAATAGAATTGTAAGTCGCAAATATAAAGCTGTGGACTATAAATAACTGGATTATATTAATACCGCTTGAATGCATGCATACATGTATATATGTATACTATAGTGTCTAATTCTTTACTTTTGCGCACTATTCTCGGAGTGTGGATAATCTCATATAAGAAGATCGACTTATCGCTGACTAAAGTCCAGCGACAGAAAAGCAAAACGAATAAGTCTTATAAAATAATTTTGCGTTAAAATCTGTCATTGTTCAATACGCAAGACCTTTCGAAAGAAATATGTCAAAATTATTACTGACTTAATTGTCATTTTTAATATCGGAGATATTTTGAAGAGCTTAAGAAATATACTAACATAATTATTCCACTCATTTTTTTTCTCCAGTAATAAACTTAAGTTCAGACTAACATCACGGTTATAAATCATTCTATCTGTCTTCTACGACAATGACGATAATGATGCCTCAAATCAT